GTTGGGCTGAATCTGTATCGTTGTGGTGGGTGGGGAAAGTAAAATCTGTATTTCTCCTGTGTAGTCTGCATCAACAACTCCTGGGATGACTAAGATCCCCTGTAACGAGGTGGAGCTCCGCCCTAATATTAATCCTACAGTTCCCTCAGGCAGCGGCCCAGACACTCCTGTAGGAATGGCTGCTACTGGCGAGTCTGGGGTTAGTATTGCGTGGGTGGTTGAATGGAGGTCCAATCCTGCACTGCCTGGGGTTGCTCTGAAGAGGTCACTGACGGATTGAAATTTGCAGCAGAGGGGTTGAGGGTCGATGCCCCTATTATTGCAGGGGCCTGGGGCCGGCCCCTTCTCAAGTTTCCCGATTGAGGTGATGGGATAGAACCTCCTTGGTAGCGGTTTGTGGGATTTAAAGGCCGACCATTTTTATGGTATTTCGATCTACATTCCTTTGCCCAATGGAATCCTTTCTGACATCGGGGACAAACGGTTTTTGGAGGATTAATATTATTCCCTGATGTATTTCCAGGCTGTCGAGGAGCTTGCCATCTGGCTTGAGTATTATTATTTCTATTTGGGCATTCTCTGCTAAAATGCCCAGATAAGCCACAAGAGTAGCAGTTCATATTTCTTTTATTACCTATATTATTGCTGGCTTGTCCTATGCCCTGTACATATTGAGGGTATGTCTCCCCTTTGAGAGCTGCAGCTATAGCTACACCCTGTATAAATGCTGGACTTACATCAGCACACTGTTTTATAAAATCATTTATAGTTCCCGTTCTGCGAATCGGCCTTAATAAAGCCTGACAGGTATTATTAGCATTTTCAAAAGCCAGTTGTTTGATTAGGATATCGGCAGCCTCTTCATTATTGATTACTCTCTTGACTGCCTGTATGAGGCGAGAAAGGAAATCCTGATATGGTTCCTCGAACTTCTGTTTAATCTCTGTAAGGGAGGTTGTTTTTCCTGCTGTATAAGGTAGGGATTTCCAGGCATTTAGCGCACAACTGTTTACTTTAATAAGTGCCTCTTTGGGCATATACATTTGCTCCTGAGCCGTGTTAAAATCACCTTCTCCTAATATCATGTCTAGGGTTACTCCTCCTCTGGATTTTTTGCTAGTGGCTACAGCTTTCTTAGCAAGATCGTCATATTCAGTTTTCCATAATAAGTAATTGCCTCCTGAGAGACAGGATTTACAAACCTGTGACCAATCATAAGGAGTCATCCATTTATTGGCTAGGGTTTCTACCAAGGTTAGTGTGTAAGGAGCTAGAGGTCCATATTCAGAGCAGGCCAATTTTAATTCTTTAAGTATTTTGTAAGGTATAGCCTCCCAGGTGGGGCTTTCGTCCTCATCAAACTCATTCTCATATGCAACTGGGAAGCAGAGTGAGAACTCAAGATCTCCATTAGCTTCAGCTTCTCTTACCGCCCTTTGAAATTTAGACATGGAGCTCCTAGGAGCCGCATGACCTGGTTTAGGCTTCCTTTCTAATTTAGGGAGCCTGTTTTGAATGGGAGGGCCTCTCTCCTCTCTACTGACTGGAAAGGAACAATGATCATGTTTATGATATTTATTCTCCTTCCGATCAGTAGGCATAGCTAAATTGCTCTTAGATTGAGCTGGAGACAATAATGATGTGTCTTCTCTAGGTGGATCCGAGGGACTATTTAAAGTTTGAGAACGTTCAATAGTTTCTGCCTCTGGTGCCAAGGTGCCACGAATTGAATTCCAGAGGGAACAGCTTTTTGCTGGGACCTTCTCAGATCCATGGTAGCTGTAATAGTTCATTAATTGCTTTCCTACTTTAGTCCAAGTTTCTAAATTAACAGTTCCATCCTCAGGAAGCCATTGACATACATCTTCTATAAAACTTTCTGTCTGACTGGGAGTAACCTTAACTCCTCTGCTAGCAAGCATATGCGTTAAAACATTAATACAGACTCTTTTTTCTTTAGACTCAGTATGACCCATCTTGTCAATCTAAGTTCTGTACTAACTACCTGCTTACCCTACTTATCCTTTATAGGAGGGGTCTGCAGCACCCTATGGTGCAGTCCTATCCGTCCCAAGTACTTCCCAAGTATGGGGGGACTTACATAAATGCCCCACGTTGGGCGCCAGTTGCTGGGGTCCAATCCCAGCGGGTCCAGGGGTCCCCAAAGGTGTGGACGGAGTCGGCGAAGAAGGAATGACACGAAGACAGCCTTCAGTTGATCAGCAGCCTAGTCAGGACCTCTAGCCAGGATCTCCAGCCAAAGTTCTGGTCGGAGTTCTGGTTAGGAACTGATCAGGATCTGAAGTTTATTGTCTTGTTACATCCATATTTATACCAGCCGATTTTAATCCTGTCAATTTCTATTACAAAGGTTAGGGCGTTTCTTATCTCCATTCCAGGGAGTAAAGATTATGTAGCTTAACTACCCGCCTGGCACATAATTAAGGGGTTGTATCCCCTCCCTAACCTCAGGGAAAGATCCCCACCTGGGGAAACAACCTTTCTCGGAGAGGTGACCTTGGTTAAAACACATGGCGCTAAAGAGAGCAAACATATTAAGAACAATATGCTATATATGCCAGGTCCCTTGAAACATATGCTGTGCAGATGTTTCTTTCCTGCAGCGACTGTGTCAAGCAGCAAGGATGGACCGGCTCCCGGCAATTAGATAAAAAGCTCTTTTTAGTTTTAAATGCCTAGACCAGGGGTCCTCAAACTTTTTAAACAAGGGGCCAGTTCACTGTCCCTCAGACCGTTGGAGGGCTGGACTATAGTTTAAAAAAAAAACTATGAACAGATTCCTATGCACACTGCACATATCTTATTTTGAAGTAAAAAAAACAAAACGGGAACAAATACAATATTTGTATTTGCATGTGGCCCGCGGGCCGTAGTTTGAGGACCCCTGGCCTAGACGGAAAGGGGACTGTTATTTTGTTGTTTTTTTAAAAATATATTTTATTGATTTTTTTACAGAGAGGGAGAGAGACAGAGAGTCAGAAACATCAATGAGAGAGAAACATCAATCAGCTGCCTCCTGCACCCCCCCCTCACTGGGGATGTGCCCGCAACCAAGGTACATGCCCCTTGTCCGGAATCGAACCTGGGAACTTCAGTCCGCAGGCCGACGCTCTATCCACTGGAGCAATCGAATAGGGCAAGGGGACTGTTTATTT